CAGGGAGAGCTGCTCCCAGCAGTTGATATGCCAGCTGGGAATGACGGCCTCCCAGCACCAAAAATAAACCCTGGGACAAACCCACATGGAATCACTGGGGCTAAAAATAGAAATATCTCCTGGCCAAGGGGTTCCTAACAGAGGAGCAGCAGGTTGGCCACAAAAAAACTGGGATTAAAGAATCCTGAGTGATTCCTTTCAAAAACACACAACCCACCCAAAAAGCCAACTTTGTCAGCAGAGGAAAAATAAAGTCCATCCAAGGACGGGATGAAAGAGTCAGAAGTTTTCTGGTCAGCTCTTTGATCCATGGAAAACTGACTTTACCCTGGGAACACCTGGACCTGCAGCCCCTCCCCAGGCAGCAAAGGGACTTCACGTGTTGCTTCATTTCCCTGTTGCCATGAGACATCCACACACATCCCCCTTTCCATCCTCCCACGCCTTCCTTTACGAGCCCACGGGAACAGAAATCACTACAAAAATCCACAGAAATCAAAATCACTCCCACCCCGAGGAGTACTGGAGACATTCAGGAGCCCAGGCTGCAAGGAGGACAACGGGAAGGGGTGGATGCCACAGGTATCCTCAGCAATGATCCCACAGCGGGGACAGCTGTGGTGTTAATGGAACTGGGACACCACCAGAGCACTCAAAACCAGCTCTGAGCTGCTGGGAGCGAGTCTCTCCACTTCGCTGGGGAAGCCAAGGAAAGGGACTTGTCAGGACATGCATGTGCCCACTGCAGGACCTGCTCCCATCAGCAGGTCCTGCAAGCGCTTTCTGCTTTTTTCTTCCTAAAAAACCCCACGTTATTTACGGCCACAAAGCGAGTTCAGGCTGCGAGCAGCACCACGGGGCTCAGCCAACCTGCAGCCCCACAACGAAGCAGCAAAGCTGTCCTGGGTGTCCCCAAACCACCCTGCAGCTCCTTTAGGGAGAGGAATCAATCCCATCACCTCCACCAGGAGCAACCTCCCCCCCCCTTGCTCCTCAGGGTTCTTCCTGCCCCTCCAGCCTTCGCTTCCAAGTCACGTCCGCGGCGGGCGCCGGGTTTTCCCCGTGCCAGCGCTGAGGGATCCACGTGCTCCCTGCCCCAGCCAGGGCTGGCACGGTGCTCCCAACGTCCCCAGACAATGCCAGCCCTGTGCCCAGACAGTGGCAGGGTTAATGCAGGGATTGTTTGCGAGAAGGGAGCAAAAGCGGAGCATCCTCCGCTCGCTCCGACGGCGCCGCTCGGGCCCCGCCGGGAACCACGGGGGGACATGCTCTGTGCCTTTTAAGCTGAAATCTCACCCTGCAAGCTGTAGGGAGCAGATTGGATGGGTCCTCTGCTGGTGCTGACAGTGGAGATGCCTCCTGTATCCGGGTGGGACACTGCCCAGAGGGAAGGACGCTCCAGCAGTGCCCACAGGTTGTTCTCAATAAACACCTCGTTGCAGCCATTGGAGAATCCCAGAATGGTTTGGGTTGGGAGGGACCTTCAAGCTCATCCAGTCCCTCCACGGGCAGGGACACCTTCCACCAGCCCAGGTTGCTCCAACCTGGCCTTGGACACTCCCAGGGATCCAGGGGCAGCCACAGTTTCTCTGCCCAACCTGTGCCAGGGCCTCCCCACCCTCCCAGCCAACAACTCCTTCCCAATATCCCATCTATCCCTACCCTCTGGCAGTGGGAAGTCATTCCCTGTGTCCTGTCCCTCCATCCCTTGTCCCCAGTCCCTCTCCAGCTCTCCTGGAGCCCCTTTAGGCCCTGCAAGGGGCTCTCAGGTCTCCTTGGAGCCTTCCCTTCTCCACCCCCAGCTCTCCCAGCCTGGCTCCAGAGCAGAGGGTTTCCAGTTAATATATCCCAGTTAAAAAGCACAAATACCTTTTCCAGTGGGTTGATCCCCCTCTTTCAATCCTGACTCGTCACGGGTCACTCAGGGACTTGGCTGCAAAGGTTTCCTGGGAGCTGCCATCCCCAGTAAAGGGGCAACTCCTCTCTGCTCTGTGTGAGCAGGGACAGCACCCAGGGAAGGGTCTGCAAACCCATCCCACGTCGTTACCACCTCCTGGGGAGCCTCCTGGGCAGCCTGCAAAGCCCAGGTGTTTTCAGGATGAATTTTGGGCAGGAGACAAAAGGCAGGTGCCAGACCTAAGGCCGAGGGGCTCCCAGCTGAGGTGATTTGCATTCATCCCGTTCCACCCACGGAGCCAGGAGGCGACACAACCCTCAGACCACTTGAAAACGAGAAGGATGAAAATTCCCCCCCCACGTCCTGACCTCTCCTCCAGCTGCCGCCTCCCTTCCCAACCGGGGCGACGAAAAGCTCCTTGACGGATTTAAATGTTTTTCCCATTAAAAAAAACAAACAAAACAAAACACAACACAACAAACCAACACAACCACACACCGTGCCTAAACCACCTCCTTAACATCCACACAAGCCCTTCTGAGCAGCCCCACCAGGCTAAAATAAATATTTTAGCTTCTCCAATAGTTTTCCTCTCATTAGAAGGAAAACATAATTAGGATGTCAAGCGGCGGCTGCAATCACTCGGCGCTGCTCCGGCTCCGCCTGATTAAGAGCAACCAAGCTGCTATTTTTGAAAAGCACACTCCCTTCCACGGCCTCACCAGGGTTATTTTGGATAGACACACATATATATGGAAAGCTGGAATCTTTGCTGGTAAAAAAATCCCCACCCCGGAGGGGACACAGAGAGGCTGCGGGTCTGTGGGACGAGGGAGCATGGTGGGAATCCTCCTGGGTGGGAATTCCCCTGTGGGAAGAGCACAGAGACCCTGGAAAGGAGGAGGGAATCAGAGCCATGGATGGTTTGGGATGGAAGCTTGTCCCGTGCCATGGGCAGGGACACCTCCCGCTATCCCAGGTTGCTCCAACCTGGCCTTGGATACTTCCAGGGATGGGGCAGCCACAGCTTCTCTGGGCAACCTGTGCCAGGGAAAAGAAGAGAAGAGGGAAAAAGCAGAAAAGGAGAGGAAAGCTGCTCCCAGAGATGCTGCACGAGGGCACCTGTGTGGGGTCTGGTACCAACACTGCTGCACGGGAGCAAGAGCCAGCAGGAGATGCAAACATTCCCAGGATCCCAGAATTATTCAGCTTGGAAAAGCTCCCTAAGACCATCAAGTCCAAGCATTAACCCAACTGCCAAGCCCACCACTGAGCCCTGTCAGAGCTACAAGCCCTCCCAGGAAGATATTTTATTCTCATTATCAAGGATTTTATTTTTAAGGACATGTAAGCATCCCACGGGTGCAGTTATGCCTGAAGAAACCACGGATGAATCCTTATTCCAGACATTTCAGCATCTGGACACAGGTGTCAACACAAATCCAACCCCCCCACATCCAACTCCTGCCCAAGCTGCTGCTCTGCTCGGCATAACTTCATTAATATGTATAAAATAGAACTTAATAATTAACAGCCATAACTTAATTATTATTGCCAATCTCAGGGAGCGTTAGCCAGGAAGGGCAAGCTGGGGGGAGGGGGGAGGCAGTGATGGGCATTCCCAATGCTTCCTCAGCACCTCCCTGCCAGAGCACAGGAATTTCCATGCACTTGATCCCACATCCCGGCAATCCTCTGGATTTGGGGCTCCGAGGCAACGTGGTTTAACGAGGGCAGAGACACAAGACCACGTCAGGGTCCCCTCCGTCCCCCCCTCCGTCCCGGAGTTACTCCGAGTGCGAACTGCTCCTTAACAGCCAGGGATCCCAAAACACCCAGGTGGGTATCCCAGCACCTGAGCCCGAGGCTGCAGCACATTCCTGCCTCGCTGCAACACACCTGTAACACACCTGCACGACTCTCCCACCGACCACCACCCCAAAGCCAAACCCTGCGGGGCACCCCTTGCCCCCAAAACGTCCCCCCCGGCAGCCAGCCTGGAGCAAAAAGAGGTCAGTGACCTGTGATACCAGCGAGCCCCAGCTGGGAAAATCCTCCTGGAAAAGAAATGCCGGGCACAGCCGGTGGAATTCTGTTCAACACAAACCCAGACTGCCCGGGGACACCGCACCGTGGCCGACAGGAAGCACCGGGAATTGCAGGGGGCTTGTCCCGGGAGCGCTCCCGCTCACACCGGCTGGCCGGGGCTCCTCACGGGCTGCTGGGGTGACAGCCTGGTCCCCAGCAGATTCTCACACGTGTCACACACTCCCTCCACGGCACTGCCCAGGGCATGGGCACACACAGGGCACAGTCACACACCCACCACATCACACACAGAGAACACTCACACACTCACCACATCACACACAGAGAACACTCACACACCCACCACATCACACACAGAGAACACTCACACACTCACCACATCACACACAGAGAACACTCACACACTCACCACATCACACACAGAGAACACTTATACACCGGGTACGCTGGGGACACACAACAAACAGACACACCGAAGACACACAATAAACAAACACGCGCGCTGAGGACACACGGCAAGCAAACTACACAGTCACACACGTACGGAGGACACACGACATGCACAGTGACACACGACACACGGACAGTCACAGTCGGGCTTACCCACAGAGTCACACTCGTACACGGAGGGCACATGGCACAGTCACAGTCAGACAAGCACAGCCACACACACAGACAGCCACACACACAACTACGGACACAGTCACACTTCCAGCCAGAGCCACACGCACAGGGCACTCACACACACACGTACGGCACTTACACACACACTCTTGCAGTCACACACTCGCACATACAGACACAGACACGCAAACACACTTCAGACACACGGTCACGCTCACAGCCGCAGCCATGCACACGTTTGGAGACACACACGGACACTCGCGCAGTCCCACGCCGCCTCCCCGCTCCATCCCCGCCGCGGGCTGAGCTCGGACCGTCCCCGCCCGCCCGGCGCTGCCGACACAAACTTTTCCCCCGGCGGCACCGGCAGCCCCCGGGGAGCCGCTCCCGCCCCCCGGAGCCCCCAGCGCCGGCCGGCCCCGGCTCTCACCTGCGGCCGCTCCAGGACCGGGACAAGGCTCGGGATGTGCTCGGGAAGGGAGCGGGATGTGAGCGGGATGGGGATCGGGAGCAGCCCCTGCGCGCTCCCGCCGGGCACGGGCCGGGCGCGCCCGCCCCGCGTGACGTCACGGGGCGGGGAAAGGGGCGGGGCCTCGTGGGGGGGGGGACGGGATGGGAGGGAATAACGCGGTGTGATGGGGGGGGCGCTTGTAAAACACGGGAGTGAGGGATCCGTGTGTGATACACGGGTGTGAGGGGTGTGGGCGTGTGTGTAAAACACCCGTGAGACAGGTCTGTGTGTGTGTGACACACACGCGTGCGAGAGGGTTTGTAAAAAACACGCGTGTCGCGGGTCTGTGTAAAACAACGGCGTGTGTGCGAGGGGGTCCGTGTGTGTAACACGCGTGAGGGATGTGTGTGTAAACCACGTTTTTAAGGGGGTCTGTGTGTGTAAAACACAGGAATTCCTGCACGCGGGAAGGAAGGCGGAGGAACACCCCCCCCCCACACACACACACCTCATTTCTTGTGTTAACCACGGTTTGGGAGCAACTTCAGAGCTTCCCACGCCAACAAAAGGCTCTGTGCTCCTTCAAACCCCATGGATTAACGGAGCATCCCACCCCGCAGCCGGCTGGGATGCAGGGCTAGGAACAGGGGTACCAGCAGCATCAGCTGGGTCAGGGGTGGATGTGACCTGCAGGCAGAGCTCCTGTGGCCACCGACACCACCAGGGTGCCAATTCCTGAGGAAACACCCCTTGGAAAAGCAGCTGAGCGAGAAATCTCGGAGCAGCAGGGCCCAGGCTACACGAGCCGCTGCTCTTCCCGCCCCCTCCTTGTTTTTTCCTGGGTTTAATCGGGATCCGATGATTAAATTTCCTCTTCCCAGTGCTGGCTCCTCCTGCGCCCAGGGCGGCACAAGGAGCTGGGGTTTTGGCCGGGGTGTGACAAAAGCGGGGTGGCAACAGGGTGGCTGCGAGTCCTTGCGTGGCCAAACCCCCTCCCAGGGGGTCAGCCGGGGCTTCCCGGCCTCATCCGACCCTTTTCCCGGCTTCCCAGGCCAAATGAGCCTCACAGGAGCCCTTCAAAGCACCCTTGGGAGCTCTCTGCTGTGGTGTTATTTTGGGGTTTATCAAAGGTGAGCTTCCCAGCTGCCAGTGGGAAGCACTGGGATGGCACCAGGGATGCAGCCAGGGTGGGTGCTGCTCCCATCCTGGGGCACCCAAGGGTGCTCCTGTCCCTCTGACTCTGCAGGTGTTGTGCAAAAGTCTGATTAAAATCACTATTTGAGCTGCTGGTTTATTCCTCTCTTCCCTTCCTAATGTGATTATTTCCCATCTTTTGGGTGCTACAAAGTCCAGCATGACTTATCCCTTGTGCTGGATCATCCCAGCAGGAGGTGTCCGTGCCATTTGGAGTTCCAGCTCGGCAGCCCTGGGGGTAAAACCACGTCTCCAGATGGAAAAACTGAACTGGAACTCCCTTAAAAATCAGCAATTGGTTCATGATGGCCATAAAACTGGGTGGGAATTGTCTCTCTTTGCCTAAATGGTGCTTAGGAAAAGGACAGCTCTGGGGTGACATTCCTGTGGCTCAGGTACATGAGCGTAGCTGGCTTTTTCTGGGGGAAGAGAAAAGCTTCTTTTTGCCTCTGAAATTGCAGACAGGAGCTGCAAATCTGCTCTGAGGGGTCCGACGAGCCCAAACCCAGGGGCACCAACCCCCTGTCCAGGACTGAAGCTCAGGGGGGCTCGTGGAATCGTGGAATCCCAGACTGGTCCGGCTTGGATCCTAAACACCGTCTCATTCCAACCACTGAAACCTTCCAGATGGGACCGTTCCCAAACCTAAGCCTAAAAAAACCCTTCTTCCCCATGGAGTGTAAGGGAACCCCTGGCCCTCCCTGGTGGCAGCTCGCTGGCTTTGCTGCAGCCTGTTGCTTACGCGCTGCTGGGAGCTCTTTCTCCGCGATCCTCCGCTTCTGGTGGGAATCCAGCACGGCCCTTTGCCCTCACCACGCTATAGATTGTTCCCCAGAGCTCGGGAAGCTGCCAAGGTACGTTTAACAAAGCTTCGCTCCTCCAGTGATCCCGGCGAGCTCCCCGGGGCGAGCTCTTCCCGGGGCCAGCCCTCCCCTCGCTGCGAATTAATTACAGCAGTGCCGGTTAATGACCGTGGATGGGGATAGCTGGCAGGTTTTGATATCCCCCTTCTCCTATGGAAGTTGTCCCTGGGAAGCAGCGCATTAATCACAACCCTTGGCAGGGATCGAGGCTCGGGAGCGTCGCTGGCACAGGCAGCACTTCCAGGTGTCCGGGCTCAGGCTGCTCGGGGTCTGGGAGTGGGATGGAGCCAGTAAATTCCAACAGGATTCATTTTGTAGGGATAACTTTCTCGTTTCCAAAGCAATTACCCACAGAGGCGTCTCAAAAAAGAAAAAAAAAAAAAAAAAAAAAAGAGGCTTGGAGTGTTTGGAGCTGGCAAACAAATCATGGTCTTCCTTCTGCCAGGCTCCCCAACTGGATTATTTCTGCTTTCTTTTGGGAATTACACTATGCTGGGCTGGAAGGGAAGCAGGGCAGATTTACTCCACATGCAGCTCCCATTTCTTTTTGTAGCAGGACTCTGGAGGAGTTTTTCCCACTCCTTCCTCGGCCACATTGCCATGGCTGAAGGCAGCAATTCCCTACATTATATCTGCAAGCCTGGCCTCTGCTTTTGCTTTTCCTCAGACTCCAGCACAGCATCCCCCCAGCCACATCCCCCTGGAGCAGGTGAGGATCCCTGGGGTAGGTGAGACCCCCTCTGGGGAGCTGCCTCCAGCTCCGGGGTCTCCAGCACTGGAAGGACATGGAGATGTTGGGGCGAGTCCAGAGGAGGCCCCAAGATGATCAGAGGGCTGGAGGAAAGGCTGGGAGAGCTGGGATTGTTCAGCCTGGAGAGGAGAAGCTTTGGGGTGACCTGAGTGTGACCTTGCAGGATCTGAAGGGAGCCACAGATGGAGAGAGACTGGAATGCCAGGACAAGGGGGAATGGCTTCCCACTGCCACAGGGCAGGGTTAGGTTGGACATTGGGAAGGAATTCTTCCCTGTGAGGGTGGAGAGGGGCTGGGAGGGAATTCCCAGAGAAGCTGTGGCTGCCCCAGGATCCCTGGAAGTGTCCAGGGCCGGGTTGGATCAACCTGGGCTGGTGGAAGGGGGTGGGATGAGCTTTCAGGTCCCTTCCAACCCAAACCATTCCGTGACTTGTAAATCTGGGCCATCTTGGTGCCAAAGGGGAGGAAAGCTGTGGGAAACGGGGCTGGAATCACCTGTGAGGTGCCGGTGACCCCCTGGCCAGGTAACAATCACTTCCCACTAATAACTGGGATTAGTTTTCTAAGCCGGATGAGGAAGTGCACAAAGCAAAGGACAAACCTTCCGGAGAGGCTTTTAATATCTCTGGCATCAATGGGGGGAATGAACAAAGGGCGGGAGGGAGGTGGAGGGGAGGGATGGGAGAGGAACAGGGGCAGGACTGCAGGGAAAACCTGCAGCCTCCTTCCACTCTGACACCGCCACCCTGGGCTTTGCAGCAGCCGTGCTGCTCCCTCTGTCCTGAGGGAGGGGACGGATTTTGGGGAGCTTTGCACCAGCCTCCCCCCTCCTGGGAGTCTACTCCATATGGCCAAATCTGTTATTGTAGACAAAATCAGGGAATGACAGAATGGTTGGGATGGAAGGAACATTAAAGCTCATCCTCCTCCACCCCCTGCCACGGGCAGGGACACCTTCCACCAGCCCAGGCTGCTCCAAGCCCTGTCCAACCTGGCCTTGGACACTTCCAGGGATCCAGGGGCAGCCACAGCTTCTCTGGGCAACCTGTGCCAGTAAATAACCCAGCTCGTTTTCCCCTGTCACCCTTTAGAAGCCAAGCAATCCCTGCCCACAATTCCCACCTTTCCTGGCTGATCGTGGTGGCAAGAGCCACAACCCACAAGTTAAATAGAGAGTGTCTTTTCCTGCCTGAGTCCAATCCCACAAAAGGAACCGGCTCTTGTTCCCGATGGAGGTCTCCTGATGGAGATTCTCCTGGCAACAGAATGGTGGGAGCTGCAAGAAAATCCCAAGGCTCAAGGACAGCCCAGTCTCCAGCTCCCCACCAGGATGAGGCTGTTTGACCGTTTGAGCATTTCTTACAATTCCATCCAAGGGATGCAGGGTGCAAGTGCCCCAGGATAAAAGGAGAGGATAAAACTCCCAGCATCCTCGGCTACCTGCTATCCACCTTGGGAAAGGGCTGAGGAATCAAAAGATAAGGGAGAAAATCATAATTGCCAGGTTTTTTGGGGCAGAGGAAAGTGGGAGGGAGGAATTAGCCCAGGCTGGGCGAGGCCCTCAGCAACCTGGTCTGGTGGAAGTTGTCCCACTGGAACTGGATGAGCTTAAAGGTCCCTTCCAACCCACATCCTCCTGGGATTTTATGATTCCATGGCCATCCCCATTTGGCCTGTTTAGCACAGCAGGGGCACAGTGCTAAAATCTGCCAGCCTGCCCCTAGCTCAGGGTATTTTCAGTGATTTCTCACCCAGCTTGAGATGCTGAAACATCTGTCACCCCAACTACCCCAAAACCACCCCGAGACAAAACCAGGGACACTTACTGCCAGGATAAGGGGGGAAACCAGTGATCCTGATGTAGATGGGCCAGCTCAGATTTCCTTTGCTACCCTCCAGCACCCTGGCAGGGATTTAAATCCACAGCTGCACGCAAACCATCCCCTGATTGCTCAAGGCATCCCCTTCCCCTTCCCTGGGGCAGCTCCCAAGCACAGCGAGGTGGGAGCTGGCTTGCCCCTGCTCCCAGCACGTGGATTCCTGTCCTGGGGGTCGTAACACCCTGCCAAGGGCCAAGAGCATCAGTTCTATCTTAATAAAACCGTGTTAATTGCCAGCCGGGCCCCGCCCCGCCAGGTACAGCCCCGCAGAGCCCTCCTCCCCTCCCGGGGCTCTCCCAACAAAGCCGGGCTTTGTACAAAGCCCCGCCTGGCTGCCATTTAAACCCTCGGAGATAAAACCACTTGGCTGCTTCTTCCTTGGCCCTCCGTCCCTGCC